TGTGCAGTTTGAGGACACTGGACTCCTAGTAATAAACACTTAGCATGACCTATCTTTGGGTCATCTTCTGGATTCTAAATGTGTAGCTGACTAGGTACACGTATATAGCCATGGCAAACAGCAATGATTTTAGGGGTACCTCTTTGAGCATTTGAATTAATATATATATCATTTTTCGGTGCATCACCAACTCCTAAATCAGCTACAAATTGTCTCTTTTAAGAAATTTCCCATAAATGTTTGCGAGACGTAGACAGTTACTCAACCGCACACCCGGATTTCACTTTCGTGGACATTCTAAATGCAAATCTAAATGTAACACAATCACAACAGTACGTCAGAACAGAAAAACGCATACGCGTTACAATTTCAAAAGTTAACTCAAAATTCAAAAGGCTTACTGGTGTGAAAAGGCAGGCGTATGTAAAGCAGTCTTACAAATTAGGGTTATTGGAGAAAGAAGTTGTAAATGTTAGGCAAATAAGCGAGACTGTTGTGGAGCTTGCTGAAACGCCATCTCAAACACCACTCAGTTATAGTATACAGTTTGACAAAATGAGCAAACGCCAGGCCTACAGAACCCTGAACAATGTTCATGCATCTACATTTAAGGCATTAGATGTCGTTAGAACCCTTGGACTTACATCAACTAATCTATACTAAGGTCATCAAATTGGGACAAAATTACTATGAATTATGATCAGGGGGAATCAGTAGATAGGGAAAGTGAAAATTTGTCACAGATCTTGTTTGTACTTGATAAATTTTGGGTAAGTGACTCAACTTATCACGAAATTGCCCAGATCAACAATGACCTGCCCAGAGTCGGGGTCGTTGCAGAATTAAGAGCTTAAGTGTCACGCGAGTTCAAAATACATAGAGTACCAAGCAATGTTCCAGGAGCAGTGATGAGTTTTAAGAAAGAGCTAGAATCTCGCGTTGGGGAGTATTTAGAGCCTAGGACAAATATGGAAAAAGTTAGAATAAAGTTTGGTGGGGATGGGACTAGAGTTAGTAGCGTTTCATATTTCGTTGTTTTCTCATTCAGTATCATAGATGATGCAAACAAACAATCATCAGTAAATCAATACACGTTAGCAATCATCAGCTGCAAAGAGAACTACAGCAACCTCAAAATGTCTCTGGTCCCATTGTTCGAAGAAGTTAACTCCATCGTTAAGGACAAGTTCATCCAAATCGGGGACAGATGTGTAGAGGTCGATATTTTTTTTGGGGGGGCTGATATGAAAATAATTCTGTTAGTTCTAAACTTAGGGGGTTCGACGAGAAATTATGCGTGTCCACTGTGTAAAGTACACAAAGACGACCGACACAACATGAGGCATGACTGGATGTATGTGCAGGACGATTGACGAAATAAGATCTCAATCAGATAAGCTCCAGTTCGGCGTTCAACACACAGCAATGTTTGAAATTGCTATCGACAACTTTGTCCTTGACGAGTGAGTTGGGTTTAACGCCGCTTTTATCAGTATTCCAGTTATATCACGGCGTATCAGCTTAATGTGGGAGGAAAGCCCGAAGTAATGCAGGTCTAAGACGTTTACCACTTCGGTGAAACCCACGAGCACGGGTATGGTGCTGACAAACATAGTAACATAATCGGGGCAAACCGGGATTCGAACCCACAATCATAGGTTTCTGGCGTGCCCAGGGGACGCAACTCTGCACAGCGAATCGCGGCGCCTTAGACGACTGGGCCACCCGTGCCCCCTTGTCCTTGACGAGCTCAACTGTTGATAAGAATCACGGGCGTTCTGGAAAGACTAATCATTCAGGATGGGGTAGCAAGGGATAAAGAGTTAGCAAGCTCAAAGCAAGGGAAACCTAAATATTTAGATGGGATAGTAGAAAGCATCAGAAGTTGTGGGGTGTCGTTTATGTATGGGAGGATAGGGACAGCAAGGGTCTACAGTGGACCAGCCTATCAGGGGACAACAAGAAAAAAGTTCTCAATCAACTGCCTGACAAACTTCACGGTCGACTGACTCCAGACAAGAAGACAGACTTCGTCGACGTTTGGGCAGTCCCTAAGTTTCCCTCAGACCGAAAACGGATGTTTGATCGTAAAGACGTGTAAGTTTCTCTAAGACAGAGAACGGGTGTTTGATCGTAAAGATGTGTATGTTTCCCTAAGACCGAAAACGGGTGTTGGATCGTAAAGACGTGTAAGTTTCCCTAAGAGCGAAAACGGGTGTTTCCATTGTAAAGACGTGTAAGTTTCCCTAAGACCGAAAACGGGTGTTTCCATTGTAAAGACGTGTAAGTTTCCCTAAGACCGAAAACGGGTGTTTCCTTAGTAAAGACGTGTAAGTTTCCCTAAGACCGAGAACGGGTGTTTGATCGTGAAGCGAGAGTCACCAGAGCGTGAGGCACAGTAACGGTATAACGAGACAGCGGTGGCACTATAGCGCGGTAATTGAGCGGATAGTAGAGCTCGGCTGCGCCCGGTAAACTGCACTGTTGCCGGACAGGTTTCAGGGACATTTACAAGTTCGTAGTTGGAAAGCAGTGACGCACGTCAGTTGCACGACATGTCTGGGGAGTGGATACGGTTACTTCTTAGAGAAGGAGAGAAAAGAAGGGGCTGCTTGAAAAAGAACATCACTCCCTACATGCACTGCTTACTGTACCATGTTCCCGTTTTCATGTCGAGGCACGGGCATATTGGAAAATTTAGTGGACAGGCACTTGAAAAAATAAAAGATGATATCAAAAGGATTCATCAGCTGAAAACACAAAAGTGGGACGGTCCCATTGAGACTATGACTGTCAGAAAGCGTGTCGAAAGACAGTCACACTTGGTTAGGCCAAAACGACCCTAAACAAAACGTAAGGTTGAGCACTGGGAATCTGAGCTACAAGAGGCCAGAAGCCGCGTTGTTCCCAGTACTCAGTCACATTTAGATGACATGTGTGTGGCTGACTTGCGAGACAATCTTGTCCCACTTGGAGTACACACTAAAGTGTCCAGGGAGAAACTAAATGACCTGAGCCATTCAGCAATGCATGTTTAAGCTGCCCGTCAGGAAACTGACAAATGTATAATCATAACTGATGATATCTAACTAACATTTGTTTTAAAGTTCAAAGATGTGTTAAAAGCTTGTCCAGACTAAAATGTGTTGTGTACAATGCAATGACCTAGCTGTGATAATGATTTGTGATTGTTTAAGTAAAGTGGTAAATCAACTTCTTGGAATACTATATTTACTTTGTATATACATGCCCCCTCGTTATCCCATGAAATAGCATGTAGCTTAGACGATTTACCAACCTCTGCCAGGGTGCTCCCATACATGACCGGATGCACCGGCTTAATTGCCTACCCCCGCTGAGCGTCCTCGCCAGTGGATACTGACCTATACATATATACATATATTTGTGCCCCGAGTAAAGGGATGCAACTCCACATAACTTCAACGTCCTGTTGTTATGGTTAATAAACGTTAACAGTAAACTATGAATGTGTTGCTGAAAATATTGATTGTTATGATATCGGTTGAAACGTTTACGTTTCTACATTAATTAACTGTTGATCGATCACTGAAGTTCTGTGTTTTCACTGACATTGGGGAATTACACATACACATAGAAGCATCGAGTAACATATTTCAAGCGTAGTTTCAAATGTTTTCCCAATGCTTTAAACATTTGTAAATTACATCCCTGATGACATATTATCCAATAATTTGAGTCCAGGGGAAACTTTATTGAATATTTCAACCTTACTAACGTACAGAAGATTGAAACTACGCGTCCTCTTTATCTATCACTATTTTACGGTTGAGTGATTTCAACGTGGGGTGATACTCATGGCACAGATTCTCGGGTATTGCATATGTGTGTGTGACGGGTACCAGCTGCGGGGCAGGATACACTCACTTTTTCGCAAACTCCTGATATCATCACTGTTAGATTTGACACGTGCCCTTGATATATCAGTTGTCGGAATCGTACAATCGACTCTGCTTTATGAAGAGATTTCTATTGGATATGGAAAGGGTTTTGTTGCTGTTATTAATCTGATTAATGTTCGTTTACGTCGAAACTGACACAATCGACACTAGCTTTTGTAAGATTGTATATACATAGAGTTAGCCCAAATGGTAGTTGATCAGCAGAAATGAATTAATATTAACATAGTTTGACTTTGGTGGACATACAATGAACACTCTAATAAATAGTGAAATGAGTTTTCACATGAATTACCACATTGACATATTGGAGCACATTTTAATTCTATTCTGCGATCACGAACCTGAACTTGAACAAACACTATTGGATATGGATCCGCAATGGTTTGTGAAGAGTTCTTCATGGAATGCCATATTGATAGCAAACCATGTGGTTAATATGTCAAAGTTTGTTCGTTTGTTGTTTAACGCCACACTATTCCACCTATTCCCGTAGGTCTGTAAATAATCGAGTCTGGACCAGACAATCCAGTCATTGACATTATCAGCATCGATTTGCCCGACCGAACCCGTTAATCTGCCTAGGTGCGTTCGGATACGCGACTATGCGCACGGATCAATATTGTTTTATTCTTCGGTAAGAAATACTTCATTCTAATATAAACATGGCCCATATCGATTCTTAACCTGACAAAAACAGTGTCCATAGCAACGTTTGAATGTGAGGACATACAAGCAGTCAGATACCACAAAACCCCAATGTTGTTGTGAGACATGTATAGGTTGCTAGGGGCGTATTCTGTTCTAAAATAATCACAGACATAGATTCTTCGACATATTTCTGAGATCCGAGTCAAAATAAGTTTCCACACATCTTCAATGGAAATACATTTGCCAGTCAATTTGGATAATATCAATACCAATATCATTGTATAAAACTGTCTTCTTGAAATTGTAGTATTGTAGAATTATGTCTAAACCTTTCTGGATACGACAGCCTGTTCGCTTTAATCATTATCATCGAAACGTTTTCTGCATAAGAAATGAAACCAAAAATCATACCTGAAGAGAAGCATCTCCATCAGTCAAGCGAAGGCCTACTCATTAACTTTTGTAACGTCACTTCATCCCGATGAACCTTGGACGTGGCGACACAATGACAGATTCATCGGTTGTCGCTGTGATGAATATTTCACCAGCAACCGTTGTTTTATTGTCAAGGCCTGCTGTTATTGTGTCTACTGTACATTACACACATGAATAATTTATTGATTGATCAAGAACACTTCTACAGAAGCTGATTCAGTACACTACCGTCTTAGTATGTGTGTTGCCTTGTGTCTGGGATACATTGTACGTGATATTGATTTCAATGATGCTGTAAGTGACAGGTATTTACTCATCCCCATGCCCTAGCACAATACCCCAGATCAATATATAGCTCCTTTTAATATATAAGGTTAAATAAAGGACATTATATTTAAGGAACCACATGGTCTCTTGAAGGCGGTGAGCTGCTAGAGCTGGGAAAGGGTGAAAACAGAGTGGTGTGCTTGCTTTAGTAAATATATGCTTATACAACACACCCGTGTTTGTGGATTTTACCACGGACCTATATTACAGTAAATGACCAAAGTGGTAAACGTGGAATACCTGCATTGCTTCGGGCTTTCCTCCCATCTAAAATCTAAAAGGACAAGATATAATTTAACTGATGTTCAAAGCGGCAATAAAACGTGTGAAATATGTGTCTAATATGTATGCAACCTCATATGTGTGTTCACGTAAACAGGCGGGCAAAAGAAAGTGGACACTTAAGTTTGATGGTTGCTAAAAAAGAAACAAACAAAACAAGAAATGGTTATTCGATGGTGATGTATGGCGATGTATTGCGATGGTGATGTCATTACTGTCACACGATAACAGATGGCGGTAAACATGATTCGCATAAGTGAATAGAAGAAATCATCAAAAACGACGGTAAATGCATTTTTTTTGTGATCACTGAGTGAACTCGAGGGGACATAAGGTACCAGAAAACATATAGTAAGCAATGGGTGTGTGTGTAGACAGTTGGAGGGCCATTGTTGCTTTTCGCCCCGGTATAACGCTACCAACAGGTACACGCCTTTGTTTACATACGAAACTGTTCATATTGACACTGCTGACGTCACAAAGGCAGTCACAGTCTTTGGAAAGTCAGAAATGTAACGAAATGTTTGTTGTTTAACGCCACACTATTCCACCTATTCCCGTAGGTCTGTAAATAATCGAGTCTGGACCAGACAATCCAGTCATTGACATTATCAGCATCGATTTGCCCGACCGAACCCGTTAATCTGCCTAGGTGCGTTCGGATACGCGACTATGCGCACGGATCAATATTGTTTTATACTTCGGTAAGAAATACTTCATTCTAATATAAACATGGCCCATATCGATTCTTAACCTGACAAAAACAGTGTCCATAACAACGTTTGAATGTGAGGACATACAAGCAGTCAGATACCACAAAACCCCAATGTTGTTGTGAGACATGTATAGGTTGCTAGGGGCGTATTTCTCACAGTCTTTGGAAAGTCAGAAATGTAACAGGTCCGTGTGTAATTCCTGAGAAAGATGATCACTCGGTTAACGAATGTTCATTGTCGGACCTCGATTGTATACGCTAAAATCAGTCAAAGCAGAGATTACCTCCCTTTTCAGCAAGTTTGATTTGTTTACAAGCGACTTTGAGAGGTATTATTTATGACTATCCTGAACATAAAGACAAGATTACTTCAATGGATGTAAAGATAGATAGTCTAGAAGGTCATTATGGTCGGAATAACTTGCCTTTCATGGATAAGAGGAAAAGTCCGTTTTGGGTGATTTAAAATTTTTGCAAACCAACCGTTGACAAATTTATTTCAACAATATGACTCATTTCATAGTGATGCCAAATTTGGAAATTGCGGACGATAGTCTGGTGGGGTGACAGAAGATATTAATAAGACATAATCAGCCTACGTTGAATGAATATATAAACACTAGGAAAAATGTGCTTTCTTTCAGGTCAAACATATAAATTTGTTTGATTTTGGCGAAAACCGTCAGTTTGTTTTGTGCGGGGATTTCAAAGCAAGAACGTCAAATGAGCCAGATTATGTTCTAAATGGTTATGTTCCCTGTTTTCTATATAAAGCAGATTATACAAGTCTTTGCGTTGTGAATACATATGGAAGATGTCTTCCACAGGTGTGTGAACTTCTGAATATACATATCCTAAATTGGCGTATGAAAGGCGATACGCCCGCAAATTATACATTCATATCCTATCAAAAATGTAATATTGTTGACTATTCCTCATTACACACTGTCTCTGATTTTATGGTTTTACTTCGTACGGAATGTGAACATATGCCACTGAAATGTATCATTAAAGATACAGCCTTTTCAAGCAACAGCACCAAGCGAATTTTACAACTGACTCTCACCATAAGCAATAAGCTTCCTGAAAGTGAAACAACCAACTTCCAAGAATTGTTACGATGTATTCTGACTGAACAGATGTCTGAAGAATATAGAGAACTAGTACAAAGTGACATAGGTGCAGATACATGTAGACTAACGGCTATATTTGTACTGTGGCAGTAAAAATAAGAAGAGGCGTACTTTTCGATAACAACAAAAGTGAAAAATACAGGCGAATTCAACACAGGAAATACTTAAATGAAAAATCAAACTTCAAGATATTGAAGAAACTATTCAACATTTCTAGAGTCCGTCAAGGATGCTTCTTATGCCAGCTATTGTTTATTGTCTTCATAAATAAAGTATTGAAAGTAACAGAAATGAACACATCTTTTGACAGTTTTATTTCACAAAGTATTGAAGAGTTGGTGCTTCTTTTTGCGGACGATGTTTGGATACTTTCATTTACTGTGAATGGTGAATGTGAATTTCGAAAAGACCAATGCAATTGATTTCGGATAAGGGACACGGGTGGCCCAGTCGTCTCCGACGCCGCAATTCGCTGTGCAGAGTTGCGTCCCTAAGGTACACCAGACTTCTATGATCGTGGGTTCGAATCCCGGTTCGTCCCGGTTATGTTTCCAGGCCAATACCCGTGCTCGTAGGTTTCATCAAAGTAAACTGGGCGGCAAAAGAAAGTATAGGTCGAGTTCCATGATCGATAAAAAAAATAACAAGAAGAGGTTTTGTTGTGAATTGTAATATTATCTAGGGAGGGGTAACAAATGATTGACCAACCACAGTTTGAAGGAAATTGTGCAATCACAGGTAATGTAAGCTCAAGGTAAACAATGGTGGGGTAAAAAAATTCATTTTCAAAAGTTGTCTGAAATGTCACCAAAAAAGTTCATTGTCGACACAGTTGCCTTCAATTGCGTGTATGACCTCCAGCTGCCTCAATGCATGCTGTGATACGCCGCCTCATGGATGACGTGGACTGGACCACTCGTCTCTCAGGGCCTGCTGCAAGTCTTGTCTGTTGACGGGAGGCTGATGGCGTGCTCTAATCTGTCTGTCAAGATGGTCCCACATATGTTCAATAGGATTCATATCGGGTGATTTGGCAGGCCAAGACGTCAACGTTCTGCTGGTTTAGAAAGTTACGAGTCAGTCTTGCAGTACGGGGCCTGGCATTGTCGTTTTGAAACAATGTCCCCTGCTGTTGGTTTTGTAAGAACAGAACCACAACTGGCTGCAACACTTGGTCTCTGTACTGCACAGCGTTCAGGTTTCCCTGTATAATCACCAAATCAGTCTTCTGATCTCCACAAATACCGCCCCACACCATGACACCTCCCCCGCCGAATGGATGGACATCTCGAATACACGCCGGAGCCAAACGTTCCCCTCTGCGTCGATTAACCAATTACGAACAAAATATGATTCTCATAGAACCATTTTCACAGACGGGTGCAAGGACGGTGGAAATGTTGCACGTGCCACCATCATTGGATCCAAAACTGTCTCCATAAGAATCCCAGATAATAGTTCAATCTTCACTGATGAGGCCAAAGCTATCTCAACAGCTTTGGCCTATATTAAACAGCAAAATCAATGTAAATGTAGGCATAACAGGTAACTAAAAGGCCGATGCTGCAGCTAAAGTAGCCCTTGATAAACCGTTATCCCCACTCCTTATCACGGAAAGCGATTTCAAACCAACCATCAAAAATTATACTCGGGATCTCATGCAAGAGAGGTGGGGCACCCAGGTAGGAATCAATAAACTTCTCGAATTTAAACCAACAATCGCTCAAACCAACTTGGGTTGTGGGTCAAGATGGGGTCGTTTTACGACGATGTCGTATTGGCCACAGTTGGTTTAACCAGGAATATCTGCTTTAAACAGATGAGGACGAGCTTCCTGAGTGTGTCCCTTGTGATGAAAGTTTCGCATCAAGCATAGATAACAAACATGAAATGGGACTGTTTTATGTGTGAAAATAGTTTATTCCAAAGTGACAAGCATTCATCATGTAGTGATTGGCATTTTCAAGATGAAAATAATAATAACAACCGCCCGGGACCTCCTAAGCACACCCAACACCCCTTACTCACTTCCTTTACATTGATGACCTTGAACTTATTGCCAATGGAGGATCTACACTCACAAAATAGATTCTGCTTGTCGAGTCCTTTTCTAATGATATCGGCATGTTTTTTTGACTCGACAAATGCAACATTCTTCATTTGAATCGTGGCAAGGTAGAAGAGGGAGGATCAGTCAGTTTACTTGGAGGAGGAGTTATTGACCATCTTGTGGAAGGCCAGGCCTATACGTACTTAGGGATGCAGATTAGGGGCAAACTCCAGAATGCCCATATCAAGGGCAAACTTCGGACAGAGTACAAATGTGGACCAAAGAAAATCTGAAGAGCTGAACGCTCGCAATAAAGTCAAAGTCACAAATACTAATGCTGTGCCCGTCCTTTCGTATTCTTTTGGTGTTGTTGATAGGACGAAACAAGAATGTCAGGGTATTGACACCCCCACACGAAGAATCATGTCAGACAATAGATCCCACCACCCTCGCTCTTCCCTCAATCGCTTATATTTACCAATTATGATGGGAGGTTGGTTGGTTGGTTGGTTTGCTGTTTAACACAGCACTCATCAATATTCCAGCTATATGAAGGCGGTCTGTAAATAATCGAGTCTGGACCAGACAATCCAGTGATTAATATCATGAGCATCGATCCACGCAATTGGGATCGATTACATGCATC